AGACATATAGACCTCGTCATGTAGGTCTTCATTCAAGAAGGCATTTTTAACATCAAATTGGTGTAGGGGCCAATCAAAAGTAGCGGCTAGAGATAACAAAACCCTGACTGAGATCATCTTAGCTACAAGAGCAAATGTCTCAAAATAGTCAATACCATACATCTGAGTGTAGCCCTTAGCAACCAGCCTAGCCTTAAACCTCTCAATAGATCCATCAAAGTGATATTTAATGGTAAACACCCATTTACAACCCATTGGTTCCTTCCCTTCAAGCAAGTCAACAATATCCCAGGTATGGTTCTTATGCAAAACATCCAGTTCAGCCATCATAGCATCCCTCCATTCAGGTTTAGATAAGGCTTCCAGTACGGACCTGGGTATCACATAGGAAGAAACAGAACCAAGAAAAGAGTAGTAGGAAGGAGAGAGAAGGTTGTAAGACAGGTGTTTGGAGATACAATGGGTTGTACACTTCTGCTTGCCCTTGCGGAGAGCAATAGGAAGGTCAAGGTCTGGGAAAGATGTAGATGGGTCGGAAGAAGGCTGACTTGTTACCTCAGTAATGATGGGAGGAGCAAGAGGCTCTTCTGTAGGAGTGGAAACAACCTGCCCATGTCTGAATCTGTGCCTTTGGTACCACCTTTGGAGAACAGGATGAGGAGGAATTATAGGAGAATGAGGTGGAGGAGGAGGAATAGGAATATCAGAGGTAGGTCCAGTGGGAGAAGTAGACACCTCATGATAGGACTCGAGAGGAATGGGAAGAGGAACAGCTGGAGACATAGCAAAGGGCTCTTCAAATTTCTCTCCCTCAGGAGAAATGCTAAAGAAAAGAGTCAACTCAGCAAATGTGACATCCCGATATACAAAGCAGGTGCCACTAACTGGATCAAAACAACAATATCCCTTTTGTGTGGAAGCATATCCCAAAAAAACACATTTACGAGCCTTAGGTTCAAACTTGTGCCTTTGATGACTGTGAATATGCACATAGCAAGTGCACCCAAAAACACGAAGAGGAAGAGAAAAAAATATCCTCATCCGGGAAGAGAAGGCTAAAGGGGGTTTTGAAGTTAAGGACCCAGGAGGGCATACGGTTGATCAAAAAAGTAGCAATAAGAACAGCATCTCCCCAAAATTTTATAGGAACATGCAATGCAAACAAGAGGGATCTGGCAACTTCAACCACATGTCTGTTCTTCCTTTCTGCCACCCCGTTCTGTTGTGAAGTGTAGGAACAAGAACTTTGATGAATAACCCCAAAAGTTTCAAGATAAGCGGAGAGGGTTTTCTCAAAATACTCCTTAGCATTATCAGAACGGAATATTTTGAYCCGAGTGTTAAACTGGGTGAGGATGAGTTCATGAAATTTTTGCACAATAGCTGGTACTTCATCCCTAGATTTCATGAGATAAATCCAAGTGTAACGAGAGTAGTCATCAATAAAAAGGATAAAGTACCTGTAACCCCCCATAGTTGGCAAATGATATGTCCCCCACACGTCAGAGTGAACAATATGAAAAGGAGAAAGAGATCTTTTATTGCTTACTGAATAAGAATGTCTACAATGCTTTGCCAGTTCACACGACTCACAATGAAGACTCGATAAAGACACTCCCTTAAACATATCTGGAAACAAATGACTCAAAGTAGAAAAAGACAAATGACCAAACCGAAAGTGACATAACAAGACTTTATTAACAGACTCTGACAAAACTGACTCTAAGGCAACTCCATGAGGTGATCCAAAAGCTCTATCCGGTGTGTCCAGCAAGTATATTCCGTTTGCCTCATGGCCACTCCCAATCATCCTCTAAGATTGTAGGTCCTAAAAAACACAATGAGTGGGAAAAAAGGTTATGCTACAATTCATGGATTTAGTTAAGCTGCTAACAGATAAAAGGTTTGTGTTAAGTTTAAGGACATGAAGGACAGAGGATAAATAAAGGGTGTCGGAGGTCTTTATATCTCCTTTATCAGAGATGGGAGCAAGAGACCCATCAGCAAGGGATATTTTCTCTTTGCCAGAGAGAAGGTGGTATAAGCAGAAGAGATTAGACAAGCTGGTCATATGGTCTGATGCACCGGAATCAATAATCCAAGGGATTTTATGATTACCTGAAACTGAAGCATGATTTGAAGAAGCACGAATACCTGAGTGAGCAAATGCGGATGAAGATGATGTGTTGTTGTTGGAAGAGTGAGATGAAGAAACAGTAGCTTCCAAGTGATTTAGTAGCCTCCCRTACTTTTSAAAATCCRCCTTCATTRYTSCCAACTGCTCAATGGTTGATTTTTCTTCACTCTCCTTATTTCCTCCTTCAGGTACTGTAGCAACATTAGTTATCTTAGGCTTTCCTACCTGACTGCCCTTCTTAGAGTTGTTGTTATTCTTAAACCTATCAAGAAGAAGCTCAAGATGAAGCTTCCAGCAAGTGTCCTTTGTATGCCTCGGTTTCTTGCAATATTCACATATCTGCTCCTTTTTCTCAGTAGGACCCTTTGGCTTTATTCCAGCATGTGCAAAGTGTT